CTAACGGGCCACGAAGCGTGTGAGGGGCGTATTGGGTGTGGCGGACGCATGCGGGCACCCCCACTGGGGCCGCAGGTGGAGCTCCCCATGGGGCCACGAAACGATGTACTGGGTGTGGCGGGCGCATGCGGACAACCCCATTGGGGCCTTAGGTGGAGCTCCCTATAAGGCCACGGAACGCTGTGCTGGGCATGGCGGACGTATGTGGCCACCCCCACTGGGACCTCAGGTGGAGTTCCCTATGGGGTCACGACGCGCTGTACTGATTGTGGCGGACGCATGTGGCCACCCCCAATGGGGCTGCAGGTGGAGCTCCCTATGGGGCAACGAAACGCTGTACTGGGTGTGGCAGACTCATGCGGCCACCCACGGGGTTTTCGGTGGAACTCCCCATGGGGCCACGAAGCGCTGTATTGGGTGTGGCGGACGCATGTGGCCACCCCCACGGGGGCCTTAGGTGGAGCTCCCTATAAGGCAACAAAACGTGTGAAGGGTGTGCCGACATGGGTGTGGCGGACGCATGTGGTCACCCACACTGGGGCCGCAGGTGGAGCTCCCTATGGGGCCACGAAGCGCTGTACTGGGTGTGGCGCACGCACGTGGCCACCCCCAGTGGGGCCTTGGGGGGAGCCCCCTTATGGGGCCACGAAGCCCTGTACTTAGTGTGGCGGAGGCATGTGGTCACCCCCACTCGGGCCTTGGGGGGAATTCCCTACATCCACGGGCCGAAAGTTTTTTCCTTTTGGCGCTGAACCTGACGGTCCCACGCGGTGCACGGGCCTTCTGGGAAATCATAGCGGCGAACCCAATGAGGGTCGCACGGATCCGATTTCCAACTTTACCGTAATCGTGAATTCGTGGCGGGTCCCATTTCCGTGCGCGCGGATCCCATTTCTGATTGTCGGGATCCGCGCCGGACCTGATTTTGTACGGCGGATCCAATTCCTACCCCGTTTTGAATTTATATCAAATGCGTTCCAGGAACCGACCAGAATAGGATCCGTCGACCACAAGCCCCCCCACGTTAAGATTTCACGGGGGACAGGGGTGGTCCTCTTCGATTCAAAAAGGAAAATTCTTCGTCCTGCGTAAGTGCGCCGGCGCCCTGCGTCTCCCGACCCAACGGGCCCCCTGAAGTTCCCACCGCGCGGTGGCACGCCGCGCGGCGTTCGGCGCCGCCTTTGGCCGAGCACGGATGGAGGGCATCACATTTTCAAAACGGCCCCCTCCCCTCCGTCTCTTCTGGCCTGCATCGACAATCGTGCCATGCAAAGGTACCTCTCGAGAGGCGCCCCTTTCGCCCCTCGTCGATTTCGTCATACCCCAGCCCCCGCGGGGGAGGATTAGGAAGGCCTGCGACGGTGAGAACCCCGAAAAGAAACCCGCCTGGATGCTGCGTGGCCCAAGGCTGATGCAACTTCGAAACCGCCGAGCGCATGCGAGGAAGTCTCGAACGGCCCTCCTCAAGAGCATGCGAGGAAGTCTCGAACGGAAGCCGCAGAAAAGACATGTGCCGCATGCGGCAAAGGACAGGTCGGATGCCGAAAACGCCCATCCCCAGGCCGAAAGTTGTTGTTTCCTCTTGGCGCTGAACCTGACGGCCCGACGCGGTGCACGGGCCCTCTGGGAAATCATAGCGGCGAACCCAATGAGGGTCGCACGGATCCGATGTCCAACTTTACCGTAATCGTGAAATCGCAGCGGATCCCATTTCCGTGCGCGCGGATCCCATTTCTGATTGTCGGGATCCGCGCCGGACCTGATTTTTTACGGCGGATCCAATTCCTACCCCGTTTTGAATTTATATCAAATGCGTTCCAGGAACCGACCAGAATAGGATCCGTCGACCACAAGCCCCCCCACGTTAAGATTCCACGGGGGACAGGGGTGGTCCTCTTCGATTCAAAAAGGAAAATTCTTCGTCCTGCGTAAGTGCGCCGGCGCCCTGCGTCTCCCGACCCAACGGGCCCCCTGAAGTTCCCACCGCGCGGTGGCACGACGCGCTGCGTTCGGCGCCGCCTTTGGCCGAGCACGGATGGAGGGCATCACATTGTCAAAACGGCCCCCTCCCCTCCGTCTCTTCTGGCCTGCATCGACAATCGTGCCATGCAAAGGTACCTCTCGAGAGGCGCCCCTTTCGCCCCTCGTCGATTTCGTCATACCCCAGCCCCCGCGGGGGAGGATTAGGAAGGCCTGCGACGGTGAGAACCCCGAAAAGAAACCCGCCTGGATGCTGCGTGGCCCAAGGCTGATGCAACTTCGAAACCGCCGAGCGCATGCGAGGAAGTCTCGAACGGCCCTCCTCAAGAGCATGCGAGGAAGTCTCGAACGGAAGCCGAAGAAAAGACATGTGCCGCATGCGGCAAAGGACAGGTCGGATGCCGAAAACGCCCATCCCCAGGCCGAAAGTTGTTGTTTCCTCTTGGCGCTGAACCTGACGGCCCGACGCGGTGCACGGGCCCTCTGGGAAATCATAGCGGCGAACCCAATGAGGGTCGCACGGATCCGATGTCCAACTTTACCGTAATCGTGAAATCGCAGCGGATCCCATTTCCGTGCGCGCGGATCCCATTTCTGATTGTCGGGATCCGCGCCGGACCTGATTTTTTACGGCGGATCCAATTCCTACCCCGTTTTGAATTTATATCAAATGCGTTCCAGGAACCGACCAGAATAGGATCCGTCGACCACAAGCCCCCCCACGTTAAGATTCCACGGGGGACAGGGGTCGTCCTCTTCGAGTCAAAGAAGAAATTTATTCGTCCTGCGTAAGTGCGCCGGCGCCCTGCGTCTCCCGACCCAACGGGCCCCCTGAAGTTCCCACCGCGCGGTGGCACGACGCGCTGCGTTCGGCGCCGCCTTTGGCCGAGCACGGATGGAGGGCATCACATTTTCAAAACGGCCCCCCCCTCCGTCTATTCTGGCCTACATCGACAATCGTGCCATGCAAAGGTACCTCTCGAGAGGCGCCCCTTTCGCCCCTCGTCGATTTCGTCATACCCCAGCCCCCGCGGGGGAGGATTAGGAAGGCCTGCGACGGTGAGAACCCCGAAAAGAAACCCGCCTGGATGCTGCGTGGCCCAAGGCTGATGCAACTTCGAAACCGCCGAGCGCATGCGAGGAAGTCTCGAACGGCCCTCCTCAAGAGCATGCGAGGAAGTCTCGAACGGAAGCCGAAGAAAAGACATGTGCCGCATGCGGCAAAGGACAGGTCGGATGCCGAAAACGCCCATCCCCAGGCCGAAAGTTGTTGTTTCCTCTTGGCGCTGAACCTGACGGCCCGACGCGGTGCACGGGCCCTCTGGGAAATCATAGCGGCGAACCCAATGAGGGTCGCACGGATCCGATGTCCAACTTTACCGTAATCGTGAAATCGCAGCGGATCCCATTTCCGTGCGCGCGGATCCCATTTCTGATTGTCGGGATCCGCGCCGGACCTGATTTTTTACGGCGGATCCAATTCCTACCCCGTTTTGAATTTATATCAAATGCGTTCCAGGAACCGACCAGAATAGGATCCGTCGACCACAAGCCCCCCCACGTTAAGATTCCACGGGGGACAGGGGTCGTCCTCTTCGAGTCAAAGAAGAAATTTATTCGTCCTGCGTAAGTGCGCCGGCGCCCTGCGTCTCCCGACCCAACGGGCCCCCTGAAGTTCCCACCGCGCGGTGGCACGCCGCGCGGCGTTCGGCGCCGCCTTTGGCCGAGCACGGATGGAGGGCATCACATTTTCAAAACGGCCCCCTCCCCTCCGTCTATTCTGGCCTGCATCGACAAACGTGCCATGCAAAGGTACCTCTCGAGAGGCGTCCCTTTCGCCCCTCGTCGATTTCGTCATCCCCCAGCCCCCGCGGGGGAGGATAAGGAAGGCCTGCGACGGTGAGAACCCTGAAAAGAAACGTGCGACGAGGACGCGTGTATCCTGGCCGCCTGGATGCTGCGTGGCCCAAGACTGATGCAACTTCGAAAGCGCAGAGCGCATGCGAGGAAGTCTCGAACGGCAGTCCTCAAGAGCACGCGAGGAAGTCTCGAATGGAAGCCGAAGAAAAGACATGTGCCGCATGCGGCAAAGGACAGGTCGGATGCCGAAAACGCCCATCCCCAGGCCGAAAGTTGTTGTTTCCTCGTGGCGCTGAACCTGACGGCCCGACGCGGTGCACGGGCCCTCTGGAAAATCATAGCGGCGAACCCAATGAGGGGCGCACGGATCAGATTTCCAACCTCACCGTAATCGTGAAATCGCAGCGGGTCCCACTTCCGTGCGCGCGGATCCCATTTCTGATTTTCGGGATCCGCGCCGGACCTGATTTTTTACGGTGGATCCCATTTCTACCCCGTCTTGAATTTATGATATTTCATTCGTTCCAGGAATCGACAAGAATGGGATCCGTCGACCGCCGGCCCTCCCCGTGTTAGGATTATACGGGGGACGGGGGTGGCCCTCTTCGACTTGAAGAGGGAAATCTTTCGTCCTGCGTAAGTATGGGGCCACGAAGCGCTGTACTGGGTGTGGCGAACGTATGTGGCCACCACTGCTGGGGCCTTGGGTGGGGTTCCCTATGGAGCCACGAAGCGCTGTACTGATTGTGGCGGACGCATGTGGCCACCCCCACTGGAGCCTTAGGTCGAGCTCCCTATAAGGCCACGGAACGCTGTACTGATTGTGGCGGACGCATGTGGCCACCCCAACTGGGGCTGCAGGTGGAGCTCCTTATGGGGCCACGAAACGCTGCACCCGGTGTGGCGGACGCATGTGGCCACCCCCACTGGGGCCGCAGGTGGAGCTCCCTATGGGGCCACGAAACGCTGTACTGGGTGCGGCGGACCTATGTGGCCACCCCCTCTGGGGCTTTGTGTGGAGCTCCCTATGGGGCCACGCAGCGCTGTAGTGTGTGTGGCGGACGCATGTGGCCACCCCCACTGGGGCCTTCGGTGGAGCTCCCTATGGGGCCACGAAACGCTGTACTGAGTTGGTGAAACTCAGGGAGGAGAGAGGAGGGGGGAGGGGGAGGAGGGAGGAGAGACGAGGGAGGAGGAAGGAACGCGGGGACCGTCTCTTCAAAACGAGGACCCAACACCACAGGATGGTTGGGAACAAAAACCCCACTTAGGATGTGGGGATAAATGCCTCACAGTTCCAACTGCGCCCCACGAAGTCACCAGTGTATGGCGCGGTCGATGCGCTCCCGCCTTCCAGCGACGCCGCTCTGGCCGACTTCGCCCTCCGGCCCGCATGCCGCCCCGCGCCTCACCAGGGCGCGGTCTTGCCGCCGCGCCCCTGCTGCTTGGCACCGCGCTGCCGCCTCGCGAAGGCGCCCTGGGATTTTTCGGTTCTACAGCATCAGCACCTCCTGCCACAACATCACCTCGCTGAGAACTGGAATGTATTCCAGGTTCCGCACACCGTGCTGTATAGAGTTATCCGATGTGCTGCTTCGCTGGCAGCGTGCCCCGCCGCCACAAGGAACACCTTGCCTAGGCTGGACAAGCTCGACGAACGAAGTGCATCGGGCAGACTTGAGCCACAGTGGATGCAACGGATGAGGAGGAGGAGGAGGAGGAGGAAGAGGACGAGGAGAATGGTGAGAAGGAGAGTGGAAAGGAGCAGCAGCCGGATCGGCAGCCTGACCAGGAGGACTAAGAAGTGGAAAGAGCAGGGCCGGGAGCAGGAACGTGAGCAACAGCAGTAGGGGCAGGCGGCACGGGAGGAGGCGCGGCAGTAACAGGAGCAGAAACTCACAGCCACCACTGACTGCGGGTATTGGACTGCCCGCGGTACGCTTCCACTCCCGCCTCTTCATGCATCCGCCCTCCAGGGCGCAACGGCGCTGTGACCCTTCCTTCCGAGAGGAAGACAAGAGCGCTGTGGATAAGATCGGGTCGGGCTCTGGGGGGGGGTATCCTTCCTGGGCAGAGCCCGCACTGAGCGGCAGCAGATCTGGCACAACTGCACTGCAAGAAAGGCTTGGCCAAACAGGAACACGTGAGCCCGCCGCAGTCTGCGGCGGGCTCACGTCGCGATGACTTCGGCGTTGGTCTCAGGGACGCACCAGGTGCTGTAGGCCCATGGAGACTGTATTTAAGGCACGCCGTTCTCTGCCACGATCCACAGCTCACGCAGATGACAGCGACTCGAGTTGCACGCCCGAAGTGGATGTGGGCAGAGGCGGCTAGAGGGAAGAAGCAAATCAAAGGAGGGCACGACCTTCCAAGTGCAGACTTGAACAGTTGGACCGTTCCAGCTTCTTCGCTCTGGGAAAATGCCAGCGCTGCCCACCCGCTGCCGCTCCGCGGCGGCTTATTCGCCTGCGCAGGCCCTCACCTGGAGCGGCGGGGCGAAGCCGAAGTCGGCCGGGGACGCCATGGGCGGGACGTCTGGGAGCCCCATCTGCTTGGCGTAATTCTCCGGGTCAGTGGCGCCCTCGGTGTTGAAGATCAGCACCCGTGACGCGCTGCCCAGCTGCAGCCGCTCGCGCACAGAGGCGGCCTTAGGACAGTCGGGGGCCATGATCCGCCTGATCAGCCCGAGCCCAGCCCCGCCGCACTCCCCGGCCTCCACGCCCTCGGCCTTCATGGCGCGCATGCCGTTGCCTGCGATGCCGTCGCCGATCCAGCAGAATCCTCCATCGACGTGCTTGGCCAGGATGGGCCACCCGATGTCAGATGGGACGCCGCAGCACAGCCCCGCGATCATGGAGTCCAGGTCTCCGTCCACAGTCACCGCCGAGCCATCCCCCTTCTCCGCAGAGGCGAAGGCGCACGCAGCGTTCTGTGGCTCCAAGGTGATGGCCACAGGCCGCGGGGCAGAGCCACCGCCCTCGGCTGCGGAGCAGCGCTCCACCAGGTAGCCCAGCACCGCCCCCGCCATCGAACCCACGCCGACCTGCAGCACGACGTGGCTCGGGAAAGACTGGTCCAACTCGTCGACCTGGGCGAGCGCCTCGTCGGCCATGGCGGTGTACCCCTGCATGATCCAGGTGGGGATCTCCGTGTACCCTGGGGCGGTGGTGTCCTGGAGCACCGTCCACCCATTCTCCTGTGCCTTCTGGAACGCCAGCTCCACTGTCTGGTCGTAGTTCAGATCGGTCACATCGCATTGCCCTCCGAGGTCGCGCACGTGCTCAACCCGCGCCGCTGCGCTGCCCTTCGGCATGAGCACCACCGCGCACTGGCCGAGGTGCTTCGCCGCCCAGGCCACTGCCCGGCCGTGGTTGCCGTCTGTGCAGGTAACAAAGGTTCTCGGCTTGCCACCTTCGAGGACCAATACCCCAACCATGTCACCCTGCCCTCCCCCGTCTTCCCCCAAAAAACGCAAACATTTCTCATAGTGATGCCCCACCAGAAAATAATGCCGCTCCCCCTTCCTCGTGTACAGCTGCGGCTCTCCCTCGCGATGCTCCGGAGCGAAGGGTGCGGCGTATGCCCACCGAAGCACTGCGCCTGCACGCATATATTCCTGCATGTGTTCAGGTATATCTTCAGCATGTTATGGTCTGCCGATGCGCCGTCAGGGAGCGGCTCTTGCCTGCCTGCCTGCACCTGGAATGTCCTGAACCCTTCTGGTGCGCTGCTCTGCGGCACATAACGCCGCGCTGCGGCTGCTCATGGGAAGCGCAGCGTGGCTTTACCCTCGGCATACCTTTCTCACTGTACACCCTGCGAAGCTCTTCCAGCCCCGTCACGCTCGCCAGGTCCACCCCCACCTCGCGCGCAAGCCAGGTGGCCATCCCGTAGGCGGCACCGAAGACCTTGAACGCCTGGAGCCCCAGCCTCTTCGACTCGTCCTTCACGTACACCGCCGCGAGCCCCAGCTCCTGCGCAGTCTTACGGAGGGGCACCAGCGGAGTGGGCTCGGACCCAAAGAAGCGCCTGACCTGCTTGGCGGTCTTGGGGCCGAAGGGCGCGGTCGCGCCGAGAGGCGCCTCGGCCAACATCGGGATCAACGCGGGGGGGCGCAATTACTGAGCCAGAGCTGCTGTGTCCCCCCATCTTCCTCTTGCCCCAAGCCCGTGTCACTGTCCGAACCCTATGGCTCGTACTGGTAATCCGCTACCGCACCTTCAGCCCGTAGCGAAGTGTCCCAAGGCTCCTGCAGTTCTGAAGGCTCGACGCAGGCTGTGGGAGGCTCTCGAGGGCCCGGACCACGAAACCCTCCAGAAATTCTGGGCGCTCCCAGGTGCTGCTTGGGTTCGTCACGTGGGCCTCCCAGACGGTGACCCCACGCAAAAGGATGCGCAGAATCCTGGTCTGCTCTGGTCCTGCTCCGCCTCCTCGTCCTCCCCACGCCCCGCTCCCCTCTCCTCCGCCTCCATTCCCCCTCCCTGCCCCGCGTCCGTCCGCGGGGGGTCCGTCGGACTGTCCTTCTTCGACCTTCGACCCCAGATCTGCGACGATTAGACTTTTCAATCCTGGCGCTTTTCCTCCATGTCGGGGCCCATCAAATCTGGGGCGAAATGCCAACTCCTGGGAGAGGGTCAGGACCTCTGAGGCCGCACATCGACACGCAATTCATCGTCGGATGCAAGGGATCCCGGCATCTTTCCTAGATTCCTGCCTCTGGTTTGATTTCGGCCATAGGGGAGCCTTTTTCGGGCCCGACGGCCCTCAAAAAAAATACTGGACGAAAAAACGGTCCCCGGGGAAGGGGGTCGAGACCCTCGGGGGGCCGCAGGCTGAAAAGACACATAACAAGCGGGGGGCTGGCGCAGCCGTGTTTGTGGGGCCGAGCGCTGGAAAAACACGCGTGCGGCCACAAGTAGATCCAGCTCCCGCCCAGGCCGCGCATGCCCTGTGTATACAGTTTCCTGGTGTGGCGGGGGGAGCGTCGGGCGATGTGGGGGCATGGCCTGGTCGGACGGGCTTGATGCGGTCTGCAGAGAACGACCCACGCGCCGAGAGGCACCCTGATAACGTGTAGGCATGTCGGGCTGGGCTATGGCACTCCATGGACTCGACGTGTACGCAAGCTCATATATGGCGTCATAGACGGCGCGAGGTACTAGAAAAGGTCGTTGTCGAAGCCCCCGCTGCATACGGAACGATCGGCCGACACGCAGCTCGATACGAAGACGCTATGAGCCCTTTGCATGCAGGGTTCTGCATGCATATACCTGTGCTTCCAGGGGGCTTGCGATCTCCTGGAGACACACTCGATAAATTGGTCTTTAGGACCCCCCTTCTTTCCAATGCCCCCCCCATTTCAAATGGCGCCTGCTTGCTTGCTCTTGCGTGTTTGCTCTCGCTTGCTTGCTCTTGCTTGCCATTGCATGCTTGCACTTGATCGTTGCCTGTTGTTTGCTTGTTATTGCTGGTTTGCGCGTGTTTGCCTCCGCTTGCTTGCGCTTGTTTGATGTTGCTCATCCAGTCCTCCTCCCATCCTGCTCCCGTCCTCCTTTCGTCCTCCTCCCATCCTCCTGTCGTCTTCCTCCTGTCCTCTTGTCTATTTGGAGCCGACGCTGGCTGATATTTGTTGGGGGGGTCGCTTCCCCCCGTCCCTGAGATTGTTGAAAGGGGTTCGCAACGCGATCGGGCGCCCATGATGGCCAAAGATGGTTCCAAGAGGGCCTCCGATGCTCCAAGATGGCCTCCAAGATGGCTCCAGGTAATCGCCGATGGTTCCAGATTGCTGGGGACACGCTCGATTAGCTTTCATCACGGATCCCCCTCTGAGCGTGGTGGGGCGTCCCTGCTGAGCGGGGTGGCATGTGCTTAACTGGAGAGAATACGGCCTCCCTCTCTGGGGGGGGCTCGGGAAACGGGCCGGACACGTCGTAGCCAACTCCGACTGGAGGGAAAGTCAACCTGAGAGCTAGGCGCGATGCTCGTTGTTGTGGTTGCCATCGTCTGGGTTCTCTTGACGTGTATGCTCATCAACCTCCACCTTTTAACTCCAACTCCGCACCCGCCGTCATCATTGTCCTCCCCACCCCCTCCTCACCCTTCCTCCTCGTTTATTTCACTATGCCGTCAGATCGCCCTTTTCCGTCCTCATCGCTCTCATAACTCCTGTCTCCTCCCTCCTCCGCCCAGCTCCCAACTCCTCCTCCTCCTCCTCCTCCTCCTCCTCCTCCTCCTCCTCCTCCTCTTCCTCCTCCTCCTCCTCCTCCTCCTCCTCCTCCTCCTCCTCCCCCTCATCCTCCAACTCATCGTCATCAGCACCCTCATCATCAACAACAGCAGCATCATTAACGTCCGCAGCACCACCCTAATCTTCAGCATCAGCAACAATAGCACAATCATCAGCATCATCACCACCAGCAGCATCATATGCAGCAACAGCATCATCATCGCCGGCATCACCATCAACATCATCACCATCGTCAGCAACATCATCAGCGCTGGCATCAGCACCGGCAGCATCACCAGTGTCGTCAAAAGCAACATTGTCAGCATCGGCATCAGCATCATCAGAATCATCATCAGCAGCATCATCAGCATGATCATCAGCATGATCATCAGCATCAGCATCAGCATCATCATAATCATCAACAGCATCATCAGCATCACCATCATCACCAGCGTCCTCAGCAGCAGCAGCATCACCCGCATCGGTGATCACCATCCACATCAGCATCATCAGCGCCATCAACATCGTCATCATCAACCGCATCATCAGCATCATCCCCTTATCAGCATCATCCTTGTCATCATCGTCATCAGCATGATCGCCAGCATCAGCATCATCATCATCAGCAGGTTGCCAGTCGACCGATGGCATTGGCATGCGTTTGCCCATACGGACCGGTTGTTCATGATCACCTTGTTTAAGCCTCTTGCTCAGGTTTATCCTCGGGCAAAATGAACCTGGGGTCGCAGTCCTCCAGGCGATGAGTACGTGCGGAGATGTGTCCGTTAAGCTTAGGTTGGCCCTAAGGTTGGAGGGGGCCGGCCGGCCGCGCGCGCGCGGCGGGGCGGGCGCCGTTTTTTCTCTGAGCCAACACGCACAGCTACGCAAGCACCACTGCGCGGGCCAAATGGGCCTGGGGGGGTCGCCTAAAACGACTCCCCCCGCGGACAGCTGGGCGCGCCCCACACGCGCAGGTCGACGCACCTTTTTGTAGGCAACGCCCCAAGAGTGATTATGAAAACGTCGGCGACAGCGGCGCTGGGCAGTCTGGCCGCAAACTGGCCCGCCGCGCGCTCGACGCAGGTGCATCGCACCCTTGCTTTGCGGCGGCGCAACCGTCCCAAACGGACGTAGTCCAGCCGCAAAGTGATTGAACTCGAGGGGGGGGGGGGGGGGCGGGCGACATCGTCGCTGGCCTCCACCTCGTTCTCTTCTCGCCACCCGCACCAGCGGTCACGCGAGCCCCAGCTGTCGTCCATGATGACCACAAGTCACTGGCACTGCCCTGCCACGGGGTGGAAGAATCTGTGTTCTGCTGCTCCGCGGAATCACGCCCACGCCAAGTCTGGCGCTTGTTCGGCTCGGTACCAGAGCGGCACGGAGCACCCCGAACGTCCCGGGCTGCTGGAGGACGGAGCGTCGGCGTGCAACCAGAAGGCGGCTCCCGAGCTCTGCGGGGCATCCCACTGCGTCGGGTTGGCAGCACGGCGCCTCCGAGACCCTCGTTGGTCATCTAGCGCCTGGCTGCTGGTCCTCTTCGCCCCTTTGCGAGTGCTCGCATCGTCCTTCCCCTTGCCCACGCCATCATCGCCCGTTCTTGCTGCCTTCGGACGGCCCTCAGGCTGCGCGAAACGAGGCCACTTCGCACCTTTCGCAGAATATTCACGCCCGGGCACACCACCGACATAGTCAGCAGGCGCACCCGCGTGCGCGGGCTTTGCCTTGGTTGGAGGTGGGCGCAGAATCACAAGCCAATGCTCTGCAATTTCCGCCCCCATGACAGCCTCGAGGCGAGTGGGTGGCTTGATGGCGTTCGCTCCTGGAGCCGATGCACACAAAGCAGAACAACCACAGCTGGGCGTTTCACGATGACGGTCTTCTGGGTTCGAGTAGTCCCATTCGAAGGGGTTCAGTATGGAGTGCTCCCTGACAGCGCGCCTCTCTTCTTCCATCACCCACCAGCTGGGACATGGCCACCAAATACTCGGGGGATCCACCGCATTCGGCCCTGTTGCTGGCGCGCAGAGGTGTTCATGCTGGAACCTGATCCACATCCGGCCCAGTTTTCTCGTCTTTTCGATATTGTGGGGCATCTGCGGCGGAGGCAATGCGTCTTCTGGGCATGTGGGCAGCCACACGAAGACCGCCATGACGTTGCCGTTGTATGCGGTCTTCCCTTGAAGAGCGTTGTCCTGGCGATTGAGCATCGCAGCCTCGGTGATGTCGAACCACTTGTCATGTGCATTTCGCTGAACACGACCAGTGTCTGTCCCAGTCCATCTATTCGGCCCGCGGTCGCGGACATCGTCCAAGCGCACCTTTTCCACGCCTAAGCCTTTGCAGTCGACCTGCGACTTGACCTGCTTGGCATCGACCATACGGCTGGTGCAGTGCATTGTCTTCCGACATGCGAAGCGCACCAACATCCAGATCCGCTTTCGGCAGTCACTGCCGCACAGGAGATATCCGTCATCCCACAAGTCAGGAGCGCATAGCGTGTCCTTCTTGTCGTTGGTGGCGAGCTCGTCGCCCTCATCCACATCGGGCACGCGACGGATCTCACAGTTCTGCTTCACAAAGTCAAGGCAGCCAGTGCCAGGCTGCAGTCGAACCAGCAGTGCCGCGCGTCGTCTATCATAGACCAGAGCCCGAGACACCTTCGCATGCTGGATGCCCGACACTGCTGGCCGCATTATCTGGTGGATGTCGACCCACTTGGGCCGAAACGTAGTCGCCAGGGCGCCGTCATGCAGCATCCAGACGGCCTGATGTTCAACGAGACGTGGCTGGAAGGTGACTACGAACGTGTCGGACGATAGATACGGATCGTCGGGTCCGAAAACGGCGGCGCCCAGGTCCTGGTCAGTGGCCGACCTCGTCCATCCCCCAAGTCTGAGCCACCTCCGCAACT